GACCATATGGATTGATCTCAAATCATCTAAGATAAATTTCCATGTAATTTCTATTGACTAAATGTACTTATAAATGATACTACAGTCTAACTTATTTAAGTCAGGAACAAAGAGTAGAGCCTGGATAAAAGTCACATAGAAAATTAACATTTTCATATGTTTATGTATCAAACAATGACAAAAAATACTTTGTTTCCTTACCAGATTATGGTAGGAACAAAAGTTTTGAGCTCATTAGCGATCAACAAAGAAACTAAATTTGGTGTACATTTCAAAAGGCTCAGTTTAAATTAATATTAAACTTTGAAATCAGCAGATTATTCCTGATGAGCATCATTAGCCTACAAATGTACTGCTTGATGAAACTTGGCTCCCCAATGAAAAATTCATTTATAAAATTCAAACATCCTTAAGAAATAAAAGGTTACACTTATTAATGGCTCTTAATGGCTGGCAATGTCCTTCATTCAAGAAATTCTCAAATAGGAAAATTAATCAATGGACTTATACATTTACTTGTAAAATACTTGTTGGTAATGAACATACCTTTGATCTGTAAAGGCTAGCCAATTAAAATTCCTTAAATAAAAAAAGAAAAAAGAAATGCGATTGTATTTTTTCAGAAATTTCACTGTATGGTACAATATTAATGTTTTGCTTAGTCAAAATAAAGATGAAAATGTTATTAAGATGCTAACATGCATGCATAAATTGTTTTCATCAATTAGAGCTATACACAAGAATTCATAAAAACCAAGTCATAATGTTTTTATTATTTCCTGTCATTATCTTCCATTGAAAACATTCTACATGTACCTGAACACTTAATTTTCTCATTAACTTTGAACAACTAGTGTAAGGTCTTAATAGTCTCTCTGAGATCCCTCACAATGAGGGTAAGCTATGAACCAGCTATCATCACACAACCTTCTGGATCAGTGGTTCTCAGAGCGTGGTGCACAGACCAGCAGCTTCAGTATTACCTGTGAGAAAATGATGAATCCGAATCTCTGGAGGGTGGAGTCCAGCAACAAATGCTTCAACAAGCCCTCCAGGTGATCCTGATGTACACGGAAAGCACTATTTCAGGATGTATTTTGTTTGGTATAATAACTCGAGCAAAGATTTAAAGGAAGAAAACACAAAGGGTATTTGGAAAAGAGAGTGTCCTTATGTTGTGGAGTACTCATGATGATATCTTGCAGTTAGGCTTTAAATAGCAGGAGCTGCGACTCAGCAAATATTTGTACTCCTTTCCAAGTCAATGTCACAATGCCTTAAATAAATGTTAGCTGCATAAATAAGTGAAGATTGTAGAGGCTGCAAACAGGGAACTTTCTTTGGAGAACACAGTTTTGGAGTTCATTGAAAAATAAAACCAAGTTCTGAGATGAAGGTATAAAATGATGCTGACTATGGGAATTTAAAAGAAGTAGCCAGTACAAAAAGTCATAAAGCAATGAAAAGAATTATAGGTTAGTTGGATAGGGGAGTGAAGGAGAAAGAAATCAAAAAGGAATTCCAATCATTAAATAAAGACTGGAATGAAATTTACAAAGCTTTCAATAACGCCTGGTGTATTACTACGATTTGCTTTAGGCAGGAAGCAATCTAATTTACTATACAATTTCCTTTCACTGCAAATGGTGAGGAGGATATGCACAAGTGTGTGCAAGAGAGAGAAAGAAAGGGAGTGAGATGAAAAATAAGAGTTCTAAACCAACACACCACACTCATTGCAAGGTCTGACTATAAAAACGGACAAAGACCCAGAAATGCAGGTGATTTCTGTCTGGTGATTTATGTGGTTCCTGATCCCTTTTACACCACTAGATCCATACTATTTCGCACTTTGGACCTGTCAGGGCAACCAAAATTCATGTTTGTTTTCTCTTTTCCTGGAAAGAGATCACAGCGGATAACATGATGTAAGCACTGCCAGTTGTTCTGAAGTGATGCTGTTTTCATAGTTTCCAACCAGGAGAGATGTTGAGTAATGTTACAAACGTCATGATTGTGCTAAAGATTAATTAATGAGGTCCAGGGAGAACTACAGCATGAATGATGGATACTAAGATTACGGAGACCCAGTTTTATTAAACCTTACATTTAAATAGAAAGTCTAAACAAATAAATGCTGGAATGGAGGACGATTTAGAGTTCCTTAGCATTGTAAAAATTGGCAAGATTAGAGCTTTCCTCAGGAGAAATAGTCTCACCAGAAGGGAGTCAGGCCATACTTCAGGGAAGCTCCTGCATAAATGCCAAACACAGAAATCAAAGTCCTCCTTGCACTAATTCACCTTGATTCAGAATATTAGGACGTGCTAATAAAACCTATTGAGGACTTAAGTATTTATTTCACAGTTACTTTCCTCTTTATACTAACTCTAAGTCTCTGAGGAAAGTTAAAATCCTGAAACGAATATGATTAGAAAATATTGTTATGTACATGATAATAATTGTATCTAAGAGAACATAGAAAGAATGGTGAAAAGAACACTCTTCCTAGAGTAATCCCTGCTAATCGGGCTCCGTCTTTAATTTACTGTGATGCTAACAATTTACATATCTCAGTCTTAGTTTATGCATCTGTAAGATGAAGCACGTGTGCTGGAAGAGAGCTTTATGATTATTCTTATAACCAAGTTTTAGGTTCACTGAGGAGGCTGTTTGTTAGGTATACAACACAGTCAGAATCTCTAGTTTTTATGAGCATGAAGTCAAATCAACAAAAGCTCAGCATTTGCCTTTTTAAAGTAGGCTCCCTTTTCATACAATGTGAGTAGCCAAATGATTTTTAGTCAAAAGTATGTATATCCAAGATGGAATGCAGATTGTGACTCGATAATCTAGCTGTATTACAAATGCATGAAACAAGCCTTCTGAATGGATGAGGGAATAGGTGCTGAATTAAGTAACTTTGGAAATGAGTGGAGACTGTTAAACTAAGGGCAAAAATAACTATCCATATGCATTGAATTTCATTGGTAAAACAGTTTCCCACAAGAGTACAGGTTAACAATTCTGAACCCACTAAGCATCTATACTGGAATTAAACAAGCAAGAGATGGCGGATCGTGGTTGGTGGGAGACAGATTTCTCCCTGTTGGCCTGGGAGGTTACAGATAAGCAAGGGGAAGAGGCTAGAACGATCCATGTGATGATGAATGAGATACAGAGACATCAGCAGGAACTCACATTTAGCTTAATATAGAGATAACTTGTTACATATGGAAATATTTATAGATATGCATATAAATGTGGGTCAATATACACTCATACATACCCTTCCTCTCTCAGCAACTTAATGTACAAAATACACATTCTTCTCAAGTGCACATGGAACACTATCCAGGAGAGGCCATATGCTGAGCCATAAAACAAACCTCAATAAATTTAAAAAGACTGAAATCATACAAAGTACGTTATAGTATTACAATGGAATGCAATTAGAAACCACTAAAAAAAGAAATTTGACAAATTTTTATATGACTCGGCAATTCCATTCTTAATAATACACCCAAGAGAAATGAAAACATATGGCCACATAAAAACCTGCACATGAATGTTAGTGTAGAATTATTCATCATAGACAAAAGAATGAGAACAACCCAAAGGCCCATCACATGATGAATGGATAATTAAAATGTGGGATATCCATGCAGTGAAATATTATTCAGCAATATAAAGAAATGAAGTATTGATACATGCTACAACATTAATGAACCTTGAAAACATTATGCTAAGTGAAAGAAGTCAGTCACAAAAGACCACATATTATATGGTTCTATTTGTATGAAATGTCCAGAATAAGCAAATCAATAGAAATCATTAATCAGTAGTTGCCTGGGGCTGGGGAGAAAATGGGTAGTGACTGTTAATGGTTATGGGATTTCTTTTTATGCTGATGAAAATGTTCTAAAATTGATTATGGTGATGCATGCACAATTCTGTAGTGAATTGTACACATTAAATGGGTGAATTGTATGATATGTTAATTACATCTCAAAAAAGCTGTTATACAAATTTAGTAAGAAAAGTAGGAGTACGTATGTTTATTATGAAATGACATATTTCTATAAATATGATTAATAAATAAATTTTAATTTGTGTAGATCAGTGCTTCTCAAACTTTGTTGCGCATGTACTGTGGCTCATACCAAAAATAGGCCACAGGCCAGATTTATGCATGACTCAAGAACTACAAATGATTTTTTAGATTTTTAAATTGTTGAAAAAATGAAAAAAGAATGTCTTATGATAGCAGAAAATTACATTAAATTCAAATTTCAGCGTCCATAAAACTGCATTGAAACCCAGCCGTGCTCATTCATTTGAACATTGTCTATGGTGGCACTGTGAGTAGTTGTGACAAAGACTTCATGTCCACAAAGTCTAAAATATTTACTATCTGGCCTTTCGCAAAGAAAACAAAACAAAACAAAGTAGCCAAATTTCTCAATCATAATGAGTAGCCCAGAGCGGGAAAATACATAGCCAAGTGCAGCAGTGTGTGTCTGAACTAAAGCAAACGCATCAAAGATGAAAAGGAGACACTGGATTCAAGTTAAATAGAACAGAATAATTACTCACTGATCTTTCTCCACCCCCCAGTCCTCACCACACCCAGAATCATCTTTCTATAACAATTATCTCCTTAAATTTCTTTAGTGACTATCTAAACTTTCAATATGAAATAGAAACCCCCGGAAACATGATAAATCATTCATGATATACTTCAAATAATTTTTACATAAATTTTAAGGTTAAAATTTTAAAATATAAAGAAAAATACAAGTTAAATTAAAAATCCTAAATTTTTAGAACAGAGTAATGTGGCATTGCCATTTGCAGATAATACTAACCATTAGATAAATTTCATTTAATTATACATAATAAAGATTCTAAAATATTATGTATTTCCTCTTCAAAGCTAGAAACAAATATTAGTTTGCAAAAACAAATGTTTTCCATTTCTATATAGTTTTAAAGAGGTTTCAAAATTTAGTCATTTTTTCTTATCCATCCACCTAAAAAGAATTGTAAAATACAGCATGAGACTTACTCATTCTAATTCAGATAATTTTTATACTAGTATACATGAAATATATACTATGAGAATTAAGGTTTCCTTTTCCACTAAACAGCCTCCTTTAATACCAATTTATTCAAAACTGTATTCTCCTCTCTCTAGTGAATTTGCAAGCATAGCAATCAAAGTTGACTGATCTAATAATCGCAAGGAATACATGACTGGGAAGAGAAGAAAAAATTAAGTAATACTAATTGATACAGAAAAAACTTCCAATTTTTTAAAATAAACTAATTAAAATAATTGAATTAATTTCAGTTCTCAATACTTCGCTTAACAGTTTCAGACTACTGGATGAGTACTTGCCTGATTAAAAAAATTTAAGTGGAAATTCTTCATAATTCACATAATGAGACCATCATGTCTGCTGCTTCAAAATGAATCATTCTTCATTGTATTTTCTATTTCAAATGGATATTTTCAGTTGTTTACAAAATAAAATTTTAAAAACACTAAAGTTGCTGAATAGCTCTGATCTCATAGATTTAGTTAGTATATTTATGATTATAATTGTCTAAAGAGTATTTAGAATCTATGTCGATAACTGGAAGAGCCCTCATGCCATTGTCCACACTGTCCAGTTTATTAAGCCACTGCACATTCCATCTACTTAGGGAGCACGGGTACAATGGAAGTGACACTCTAGTTTCATAACAGACTCAGGAGATGTGTTATTAACAAAGCTTTAAATTGCATAAAATATCACATGAAAGTAGGGGAATGTTTGACAAAACACACTTTCTGCTAAGGGGTTATAACACCCAAAACATTTGGAAAGTATCGTTTCATTTCTTATGTTTAGGTTGCTTAATCTAATAGAATTATCAAGTTCTCAATTTTCAATAATTAGTTCACTCTATAACTTCAATTCTTAAGCAGAATTGCCCAATTTGACTAAAAGAGTAAGAAAATCACAAAATTAATGTGTTTCTCAAACACAAAAGAAACACAAAGCATCTCATATGTTCCAGGATACAAAAGGCACCGCACAGGGCACACAGGTGTGGATACAACCTCTTGCAATAGAACTAGGCTTCTGCGCCTGTACATCTAAGACGTCTTCTCTTCACTGTCCCAGCTGCCGAAGAAGTGGGATGGATGTTGGAAAAACATTTGGGACTGTAGATGTATGAACTGGGCGTGCCTTTAAATCAAATCCAACTCAGTATTCAACTTTTAGATCATGTTCACCTAATGCATTTGCAGATGATCGGCATACATTTTCTGTAGGTCAGATGACTGTAACCATTACCGTAAGGAAAAGAGGTTTCATGGCGTTAGCAGCAGCACAAACACTGCTGGCGCTGACAGAGCAGTATTTTCTTGGCTCAGTTACAAAAGCACATAAATAAAACCAAAGAGATGAGGGGAAAAAAAAAACCTTTATCTAGAGAAAAAAATGTTTTTCCTTGGTGGCAGAGCAATACCTCCAGTGTCTGAAAAAATCATTAAAGTGAAAATATTTTTAACCATCGAATAAAACATTTGTCTTGAAATCAAAATAGAAAAGCTTGGATAAACCCAATAGATCATTTCTATGACATATTTTGTACTAAACCAAACTTAGAGAGTTTAAATTAAGACTTGTTTCTTTGGATGATAAAAAAGGCAATACATTATTTTTCAGATGAGGCATATGTCATGCTTATTGTTTTATTTTCTAAAAGATAACAGGGAACCATTAGTGGAACATAAATGTTAAAATATGTTAACATAAAAATTGCAATAAATATTTCAGTTTATCATGACTTTGTCTCATTCGTTATCCACATTTCATAAAATAATTAATTGTTTTAGATCAAGATGGTGGCTTTCTCTGGCCACTGCTTCTGCTGTTCACCCTTTGTCATCCATGGAAGGTGCAGAACTTTATTGAATCAATACTCAGAAATATGGGCTTCACTGAAAAATCTGTGGGAAACAGAAAGGCTTTGCATCACATACCACAAAATAAACAACTCAGTAACAAGTTTAAGTTATACATTTCTGATCACATCAAAGTCCCATTTTTTCTCTCTCTTGACCCTTTGCCTCCTCATGAAGCCTCTAAATTCTGCTTTGTTCCTGCCCCACCTCGTAGATCGTCCTTCCCGGCTTTTCTTCCCTTTCTCTCTCTCTTCAAGGGCAATCAGCCCTGTCTTTATGCCTCCACTCTTACAGATCTAACCCACAACCTGCCTCAGAAAACAAGACAAGCTCCTGTTACCATGCTTTACCCTCCTCGGAAAGCAGAAAGGGGATTGAAAAGAGTAGATTTATTTTCCTCTGCCACATTTTTGAACTGTAATTCACGAAGTTTTGAAAAGCTAGAAGAGAGTTCAATAATGTGGAACAATACTATATATCTCAGAGGAGGATATCATAAAAGCTAGATAGAATAATATCTATAAATTTGTACATGACAACTATTACTTTTACCAAACCACGTCAGTTACAGAGATAACAATGTTTATATTACAACAAATTATTTTAAATAATGAACCCAGAATGTAGACAAATAATTAATAGTTCTATTTCTCTTAGAATTATTTAGTTTTCCAAGTCTCTACTTATTTTTCTATAGGAAGAACTAATAAACAAATGTTAAATCTAAATTCTTCTTTCCTAGAAAATTTTGAGCCTCAGTATTTTCGTCTCATTCTCTATTAAAAATATGCCTGAAACACCACGCTTTACTTAAATAAAACGCCCTTTCTTAAAGGTTTTTGCAAAGATGGAAGTAAACATTAATTCACAAGTTAAAGAAATAACTGTAAATTTCAAGATATTGGATACAGCATACTTTCTAAAAGAACTCAGAACTCTGCCAAAATACACCATGTGATTTGCTTGGTTCTTTATCTCATCTGACTTTTAAGATACAGGAACTTGATGATAGAGAATGTAAATCATATATATTACCTAACATAGTGTGAGAGAGAAATGTATATTATTTAAAACATACGACAGTAAAATAAAATCTCAGATTCATGATACACAATGTATTTATATAGATTCTAGAATGTTTAAGTGGAATTCTATAACATGTATAAATATCTGTCAAGTTTAAAAATCTGGAATATCATTTTTCAACTACAGTGATAGCTCATGTATACAATAGATGTCTTACCAGAATGATCTGTTAAAGACTAAGCATTTATGCACTGATGTCTTTAAGCAATCAATGTGTTTACTGTTATTATCATCACACTTTCCATGTTTCATTAATTGCTTTTACATTCCACTTGTAAAAGCACAAACAATGGAGTAAAGGACCTTGTCTTTTTAATCATTATATCCTAAATGCTTAAAGTAGGGCCTAGCATATTTCATAGTGGTGGATTGAACTGAATTGAATTGAATTCAAAGAAAATTTCCAGGCAGATTCCACCCTATTAGCTAATATTCTAAAAGAGAAGCAGAAAAAATCTGAAACTATCAGTGAGTCAAAGAAATAGAGATTTAAAAATATGGCATCTATTGATATATATACTATTCAAGTATATTTAAAATTACACAAAGAGGATGACATGGTTTAATTACTTTAGCTTATAATTATAATGCCCTACCAAAATCCAATAAAGTAATATCTATTTTTAATCAAGTCATTAGTAATTGTGTTTTAAATAAGTAAATATACTTTCTTTAAAATGCATTCATTTTTAGAGAGTCTTCAGAAACATGACTGAGGGTAACTAAAATCGTAGCTATCAAAAGCATAAATCATCCTTAATGTAATAAACATTAAGCCTTTTATATAGAGGGAACTGAGATTAGAATTCAATGTATTCAAAGTTATTTAATCTGCACAGAAGGAAACAGAGTTTTATTTATTTTAAGATTATAATTTTAAATCACGCTGCTCAGGCTAACAGTGTCCTAGACACTTTTAGGAAGTACTGTTTTATACAAATAAATAATCATAAGCAATAAAACTTCCTTGTAAAATTGGAAATTAGAAAATAAAAAATACTACCTATTCAATTATCTACCTTTTCTGTTGAAGTGTCTATTGACAATGTCAACATAGTAGTTTATAACTATTACTATTAATACCATTATTTTTCTTTATAATCATGTTCTTATGCCATGTCATAACACAGGATTTATTACAATATTATCTCAAACACTTTTGAGAAAACCATTTTTAGTTCTAAAAGTAATATAATGTCATTAACAAAAATTCAAAAAAGTGTTATTTACAAAATAATACTTTTTAATCTCTATTCCAAAAGTAGCCTCTTTTAATATTGGTATAGTTTTCCAGATTGTCTATATTTACATTTTTCTAATAATTGTGGAGCCCTTTTTTAATTGGCCTTTTACATCTAGCATTTTAATCAACATCTCCCTAAGTATGTAAATAGTCTCCAAATTTCCATTCTTAATGACACTGTAAAAATCCAATGTATGGATTTAATTTATTTAAATTTTCCTTGTATTTGTAACATTTTGGTTATTTTCTTTTTGTATGTACAAATAATGAAAATTAAGCATTCTCATATTTGAATTATTTTCTTCTGCTTCTTTATTCTAATTGTCTTATTTTGACTAACTAGTAAGTGACAAAGTGTAACTTGGCTGTTGAAAGCTTTTTTTGGGATTGACTATGAAATATTAAATTATCCCCCTGAAGTCTGCACCAATATACATTTGTCTTCACAATTTCTAATTATGTTCAACACAATTTCATATTCTAAATAATCATAGCATAAATATTTGCACAATAGTTGTCTTTGGTGCCCAATATAAAATCTGTGAAGCTGAACCTAAAAATGAGTAATTCTTCCACTCAAATTTTTTAATCCTATTTTTAGTATTTCCTCAAGAAAATTTCTGAAAGTCAACTACAATATACCATGGTAAATTTCTGCATTTTCTTTTCCAATTGATATGGCTGACAGCCAGTAGAAGGAAGAAGTTCCATAATTTCCATTGTCAAATACAGGGCAGCAAATACAAATGCGACCAGGGAAAGATAACATTATGTATCTGATAATTTTTTACACTACTGTCAGGTTTATCAATGGTAAGTTTACCTTCCACTATATATTCCATTACATCCAATGAAGTCCAAATACACAATTTTCAGAGATTACACTGAGTCGATGTCTTCCATAGGGTTCATCCTATCATACATTCCTTTCTACTAAACATATCCCACTTTTTATTTTTCAAGACATTTTCTGTTCTCTTAGCCAAAAAGACAATGCTCTGAAAAGATTATCTACATATTACCTTGTCAAATATTTATGAACTTTCTGCTGTGAGCTCCTCATTTCATTTTGATATAAAATTTTCAAATTCAGTCATATACCTGAACTGCACTAATCAGGAAGACGACCTTGGACCAAATGAACAATATAGTAAAATACCTAAAACACAATGAAATATTTTATAAATAACTAACGTATTTTCCCATAAGTGACCACAAGAAGGAAGCTGCCTAAGAAGTGAAACTAGAATAATAAGTAGAGAGGCAGACAAGGGAGAGAAGGTCAACCCACCCTGGGGACACAGCACATTGAAAAAAGGCAAAGGAGAGGAGGAGAGCTGCAGAGGGGACACATCATTCTCTTTTCAGGCATTTCTGTGTTCAGGTCTTCATCTTTTTACTGGCAGATTCCTCCAAAATTTTAATACTATGGAAACAAGCTCTCAATTTATCAGATCAGCAATGATTTCCCCAAATACAGGAGTGCTGATAAGCATCTTTTCTGTCTCAGTAATTCTTCTAATGTTTATGACAGGTAATAATCATAGTCTGAACTATTAAGATACTCACTGGAATGTACAAATGGAAACTAAGCTGCCAGTGGCTAGCAGGCAGGGCCACCAAGGCCAAGTTAAAAGCCACGTCTTGGCAGCTGAAGTATGGAAGATGTAATCTGGCCTAGGAGAGGCAGGTCCAGTGTACTAACATCTCATGTGTGCAAGTTGGTGTTAGAGGAAATCTAGCCTGCAACATGAAGGGCACCTTCAGCCGTTAAATCAGGACAGAGGACAGCCCAGGCCCATACAATCAACACAATTTCATGTGATACCTGCACATTCATGTTATTTACTCCTCAGAATACAGTACCTCTAACAAAAGGCTACGGGAGATTAAAAAAATAAAGATCCAAGCCACATAACCCAACTCTCAAATCTGGCTGTATTCAATTCAGAGGCATCTAAAATGAGGTATCCTAAGAATTAGGGACAGAGTCATTAAACAGTTAAAATTGAAAATAAAAAAATTTAAAACAATACATAAATACAAAATGACTCAACTTCTAGCTACAATCCATTCATCCATCCATCCATCCCCACATACACGCATCATAAAAATGGCTCATCCTGAGACACATTGCAAGACAGACCCCATGGGTTCAACCATTCATAGAGATTCTCAAACTTCTCAAGTTTAATGAACATAGTCAAGGATATTCCTCAGAAGTCATAAAAAATGATGCAAATTGAAGAGCTAATAGTATGACTATATATATATATACATATATATATATATATATATATTCATATACTTCACCTGGAGAAGTAACAATTTTTCCTTTAAGAGTCAGTTTAGGAGGTTAGTGTCAAGATGGCAGCATAGGAGGACTCTGAACTCAACTCCTCCCATGGACACAACCAAATTACAACTACTCTGGAAACAATTACCCCTGAGAGAGAACTGAACACTGAATGAAAAGAACCCCCGCAACATGGGACAGTCCTGACTGAGGTGGAAGAGGCAGAAATTCCTTTCTGGAGAGAAAAAAAAGCCGCCTTCGCAAGACACAGTGCTTCATGGCCAGCTGGGAGCAATCCTAAAGCACACAGCCTTCCCTGGAGGAGTGGGGGACCTGGCGGGGAAGCTTTACCCATACAAGCTTCTTTTGGACTCAGTACAACTGAGATGACTGTCATAATATCTGGCTTTGCTGCCTACT